AATTTCGAGCGTTATTTATCGTTTGAATTGGCGGCACAATTAACGCAATACAGAATCCAGAACCACAATACACTCGTCGTCGAATCTCCCTGGAACGGGGACAATATAACGATATAACGGTGATTATTTAAGATAATACGTTGACTTACGTGGGTGAAAATATTGCAGATCAGAGCTCTCTAGAATTCTGATAGGTGGCAAAGAGCACCGCAGCTGGGGCAACCGGCGTAAGAGAGAGCGGTAGAGACGTTCAAGGAAGGATATTCTAATTGGTTTCTTGCCAGACGGTTGTCCGAATAAGCGCCGTATTCCTACTACACTCACGACTATATGATTTGTACTCCAATGGAGTAAATGTTCATCTTACCTATCTCATATCATTTTGCGTGATATCTTGTTTACAACGCGACGAAAAAATATTTTGAATGAAACAAGAGACATTCAATTGACGACAGTCTCTTAAAAATTGCAAATATTTTAAATGTGGTTAAAAAAAATTAATTTTGTAAAAGTAGCCTCGATACAAAGCAAATGAAGGATTGATTGATTGATAAGTAATTCGGGACGCGTCAATTGTTAAGATCATTATTTCGGTAAGTGTAGAGCATGTTTTCATCGCGGAAGATGCCGGTGATCTTCGCCCACTGGCTGGCGAAATCTGGCGCCGACTTACCCGTCAGCTTGCCACTGTCGGGACTCGGACACTAGGACTTGCCGGTCAGACGCACTGCAATGGATAACTGATGCCCTGAGACACATTTTCCGTAACTAATGCAGGAGAACAGGTACAAATTCTCATTTCTAAATCGGCAATTGCCATCGAAATTTCTCATAACGCTCCCGGATTGCCGCTCCCTGAGCAACTGACCGGCATGTGAGGAGAAAAAAAATGTGATGGCTTTAGATGTAAATGGTTAGATGAGAGGTAGGGGAAACACGTGAACTCTGAAGGAACTTGCAGTAAAACCCCATTAACCACGCAAATTCCACACGGAGAGACCGGGATGTGAAGCCCGGTATCCAAAGATGGAAAGCTAGCGCGCTTGCCGCTCCACGATTTATAACCCATCGCGGAGTTTGGCAGAGTCTATCTGGCAAGTAGCTTCAGAGATAAGACGCGTTTCGTTTCTCGCAACGCCCGAGCAAACGTACTCTACTGCTAAAGGAGTTTCACCTCTAATGTCGGAAAACTCTGGCTCTCCTGGAGTCGATTTCGCCAACAGACGAGCGCGCAGTCAGCTCCATGCGTGACGTCAAAGTGCAAATTGACGGGGTGTGGGCATCGATCTGTCCGCTCTACAGTGTTGGATGCCCCATACTGGAAAAATATTAATTCGTGCCTGGAGGACAGAAAATTATCTTAATCCAATTCTGAGTGTATTTACGATCACCACATATTGATTATTTAGTGCTTCCGGGGACGTTCGCTATTATGGTCACGAGTCACGTCCTAAGTATAGTGGATGCTATATCCCTGGTGGTGACTTTATCCCTCCCCTGCTAGAATGTGAGATCCGACGCCGACCTATACGACAGTTTCCCTTCTCCATAAATTTTTCACTTCTTCTAGGTACAGTTTTTCAATTTTTATTGGAGGTCTAGCAGCTCGACTTTTTAAAAAGTTAACCTTATTAAAGGAATGTCTGCATTTAGTGTCTCTTTAAAAATATTGTATGCAAGTTCTTTCTTTCAATGCGAACCAACCGTATCTTCCGCAAAGATATGGAATTCATATGAAGTCCATAAAATCATTTCATGAAGAGAGAATTTTCTTCCAGTCTAATAACTTTCTTCCATTGAGAAGAATGTTCACATTCTGAATAAGTTTTCTACGCTTTTCGATTACACCAAAATCTTGATCACACTCCATATGTGTTCTGGCTCTAGAAAATTATGCTCTATCGTTTTAAAGGTGCAATTGTTTTCTATTTCTATCAAAAATTTAACTATGTTTTTGCTTGCGTTTTGACCTCCACAACAATCACGTATGCAACAAGACGTGATGACTTGCCAAGACTATCACAGAAACTTTTTAAACAAGGTCCTTTTAAGCCCCTTGATGCTATATATCCTCTCCCAAACAAATATTGTGCCACTGTGGCAAATAATATGGCGCACTTGCCAGGAATTTGTTCTGAACACTGCCACCAAGTTGCCGCCGTTTGTTCTGAGATTACAAAATTTGACTGAATAAATGGCAGCAAAATGCATCGCGGATAATAATGAGAAATTTTCTAAAAAAAGATACGATATTCATCTACATAGAATGATCATTAACTCGAATTTCGAAAAAACGTCAAATACTTGCGTTTTGTTCTGAGCGCCTCAGTTAAATACGCAAAAATATTTCCAATCCGTACAAATATTTTCCCCGGGTGGGACTGCTACTTAAGTGCATAAGGTTCACGACTAATTCGTTACACTAACATTGCTGGAAAAGCATACCAAGCTTCACCACGAACTTTATAGGTTTATAGGTAGAAAGTTTCAGGACATACAGGTTTTAGTGAAATTCGCATTTTTTGTCTGATTATTGAAGCAAACTTTGCTCACATCGAGCCAAATACTATTCAAGTGAATAGTTTGAGAAAACATTGTTGACAGTTTTACCTTTTCGCCTTACTTGCAAGTTACTAGTAAGAGAAAGTATTGTAATTGAGCGCCGGGAAACGACTATTTTTCGAAAGAAACGCTCTTTTTGCCGGGCTCTGGTAAAAAAGAGAAGATAAATCTTCTTTCTACATGTGAATCGGTGCAACATCCGCAACTGTGTTCAACGCTAGCTCTAAAACCTTTCAGAATCCTTTCTGCAAAGTTGATATTTCTCGATCTATCAGAACGAACTTGATCCCCTGCGAGATTGAAACTTATTTTTTGATTTTTCAAAATGTTCTAAAAATAGTTCTAAAAGTTTTGTTTAATCTTTGTCCTACGTTAGCTTAAAGGACGCTTAAAGAAATAATGCAGAACTAATTTTCGTTCACATCCATGATTTTTTGGAAATTGCATGAGGTCAGTATTTTTCTGACGGTTTCCTACAACCACTCGAGATTTTTTCTTTTTGATATATATTCTTTAAAAACAGACATTGAAAAAAGTAACGTAGAATTTTTCGAAAATTTGAATAGTTTTTGGGCAATTTTGCATGAAATATAGGGAATGTTTAAACATTTTTTCGTCAAAGAACTCGGATATTAAAGGAGAATTCTCCACATATGTATCAAAAGAACGGTAAAAATTTGTGCTGGTTCCATTTTTGTCAAATTCTTTGACTTTTTGAAATATGCAAAAAGTGAACATTGCATAAGTTCTATGTTGAAGATAGAGATTTTTCTCTTAAATAAAACCGGTTGTAAAAATCCAAATTAAATCGGTTGTAAAAATTTTGGGGTAATTTCTGCTTGGATTTTTAACAGCTCCAAATCCTTTTTTCAATTTTTCCACAGATAGAAGAAGGAGCGCTGAAAATATTGGCGCAGATCTAATTTTCGTTGGGCTCTCTGTATTCTCAAAAATAATTACGTTAGAAATAATTCTAGAAAGTATGTACTGTTGGAGCCCCACTAGTTGTTTTTATGCCAAGTCTTCAAGCGCGCCAACTCTATAGTACTCTCGTGAGGGAAAGCACGGTTGACATGAAGATGCCACGCACGTGGTCTTTTAGAGAAAATGTCATGCCAAACTTCGTAGAATCAAGAGCTGATTTACGTGATTTCCCTTCAATATGTCCCGGGATTTTATGTTTCGTGGGGCGGCGTAAAAGAGTAATAGGAAAAGCTTGCATACTCACAGGATGCGTGATTCTGTCCCAGCGCACATGTTGGTATGCATTCAATTGAGTCTTTTGCGGGAATGACTTATTATGTTACGTGTTTTCTTTAATGAATAGTCAGGGAAGTACCGATCATGATTCATGGGTTTATCCGTGATGAACAAACCTATCGACACTTGTTGGAAAGCATATATACAAATTTGATACCTACAGTCTGTGCCTGGATAGGATCTAGTAAATATTATCAAAAGTGCCACCAGATATTTATAAAAAAACAGTGAAACAGCGGTTTCATAGCTAAAAAGTATAGTAACGAGCGCAACCTGAATATTGTCCAATTATATCCTTTTATCAAAGAAATATTTTGCTGATGTCCATTCCATTTTAACCGAGGAGTGCCCGCAATGTAAAATGTAATGTCAATACACGAATTGTATCTGACAGATACCAAAGTCGTTTTTGCCACTTCATGGACATCGTTTTATGAATATTTTCTTCTTATTTAAATGAAAACTCTTTTTGTAACCAGTAGTTTTGTGATATTTAAGTTTTGCTTAACGACATTGAGTGAACATTATATAAAATATTTATTTTATAACATTTATTTAACAACGACTTAAAGGACGCTTCTCAGCAGCCTTGATTCGAAAGCACACTTTGTAATATATATCAAACACGGCACTTAGTGGCAAACATTTTTCAGTTCTTTTTCAGAGGGCATTTTGGAATTGGTACCAAATTGACTCGGTTCAGTAGTGAGCGTTTTTCACCTGTCATGCGTATCAATTTGACGTCACAGTTGCCAACTCATTGTCAACGATTTTAGCGGCTATTACACTACACTGATAGCTCAAAGATATTCCATATTGTTTGTTATGGAGAGTTGAGGTCGACAGGAAGTCATCGATGTTTTAATCATAAGAATATAGAGAAAAATATACGAAGATTTGGATGGTGTTTCTTACAATACGGTAGACGGTCTGACCAGCCAAATCAGGCTATACTCTGGGCATATTTAATTAACAATATTTTTCTTCAGTCAGTATTTGACAACACATAACGCCATAATAACACACAACGTGTGTCACAAACACGTTAAATAAAGATTTGATAAGAAGTGAATCTTCTTATATTTCGCTTGGGAATTCTTTCCTTTGACACCATTGTGATTTTACAGAATTAGTGTTTTAGTAATTAGAGTTTTAATTGTATCTGTTGTTTCTTACAGGAACTGGTTTCGGTTACGATCCATCCCAAGAGGAATTGGTCTTCTCATCGCCAAGTTTCGAAAGTCAGAGGCTGTACGTCGGCAGTCAAGAATCAAGAGAACATGGCAGATCTCAGTGGAACAATCAACGTCAGCCCATCATAGCCCACAATCAAAACCCATCTCAGCGCCCGAATCTACCTCCTCCTGTGCTCGGTACTCCAAGTGGGCCATCCTTGGAAAGGCCACAAGTGCAATTTCGACCAATAACGATACCTTTGCATATTCCCTTTGAATCTCAACGAGGTGTCGATCTCTCGCAGGAGTCTGCAACACACACCGTGCATCGCGAGTTTTATCCTGGCCTGCAGATTTACGCGTCCCACGAGCAAGTGCAACGTCCAATCGCCAGTGAACACTTAACGGAAAAAGTTATAGATCATCTTAGAGGAAGGACACATAATCAAAATAACCAACACATACTTCAATCACAGCAGCAGCAGCATCCACAACAGCAAAGTGTATACCAACAGCAACCAACCTTACAACAGCAAGTAGTACATATTTTACAACACCAATACCAGCAACAGCAATACGAAGAGATACTTCAACAGGCGACGCACCAGATTCAACTACAACATCAGCTTCAAGAGCAACGACAGATTCAAGAACAACAACAGAAGCAGGAGCAACAACAACAACTAGGACAACCTAATCAGCAGGCTGATCTTGTAGTTACGGAGCAAAAGAAAGAGCAGAACGATAGAAAGGCATCCCAGGAAGCTCAAGGTGAGGAGAAAGTGCAGCAAGGTGAGAAGCAGACCGCAGATCGTCCACTGCGGGGCTCTCCAGAACAACCGACACCAAACGCGCCTGATCAGAATCATGCGCAGACAACCAACCCGCAACAGAATGCTCCACCTAGCGAAGAAAACACGGCCGGACAAGGTAAGGGGCAACTTGAACCAGGAGAGGAGGCAAAGACGCAAGCTGAACCGGGGGCGCCCCAGACGCAACAACAGGCGGAGAAACCTCAACAAGGCCAGCCGGCGCAATCCCAGAATCCGGAGGAGCGTGACCGCCAGCAACGATTGAAACACAACAACGACCGCGAAGACGAGAACCGGCAGAAGCACCTGGAGTTGCTACAGAACTCGCTGCCCGGCCGCCTCACGCAGGAACAGGTGGACCGATTTCTACAGGAACTGGACAAGCAACCGCCCGAGACGCAGGAACTGATCCGCCAGAAGTTGCAGCAAGAGCTGCTGAAGCTGCTGGTGAATGAGAAGCAGCTCCAAGACGGG